CAAACTTTTCATAGAATTGGTCTAAGCCTCTCCTAGAAGCTTTCTGTCATTCTTAACTTCCTTCCCAAAGGAAGAAGAAGAGTGAAAACAGAAGAGTTTATAAATTGTTAATGTCCCCACCCAAAAGCTAACCCTTCCTGCCAGCAAGGAAAAAGAACTGAAAAATAATTATGGAGACATATATCTGAATATATTCTTTCAGGAACCATGAGATGAAGAATCATGCATAGGCTTTAATTCTTTAGGACAAAATTATAACAAAAACTCAAGGGTTTAAAAATACATTACCCTTCATTTCTATAGAATTGTAAGTCCAAAGCAAATCTAAGCCATAAAACAAATTAAATAAAAGAGTAAATAAAAGCACTGATTCAAACTCATGCTTTGGTGTGGTGTGATTCATTGCATTCCAAAGCCAGGACTTAGGTCTGACTCTGCCGGCTTGTCTGGCACAGTCACCTGTATCGAACCTTCCGAATTAGCTGTTAAATAACTTTTAAAAATAGTTTAATTCTTATTCCCAATGAATTCCTAGGAAGTGTTGCCGATCAGTTACACTATTTCTTAGAAATTTAAAGGAGAAAAGTATAAGTTAGGTATATAGTAAGTGCATGCATTAAAAAAAGTTGTAACTTGCTTTCCACCTCAGAATTATAAATATTTAAAGAAAAAAATGGGAACTATGTTAAGACAAAAATCGATGTATGAAGACATGGATACTAATGGTATAGAGGAAAGGATCTGATCAACGTACAAACATTAGATTATTATTTTTAGGCTTCTAGGGTTCCAATTGTTTTGTTAATAGTTAAAAACAGTTTCAAAACCCACTAAGAGGCAAAATAAAAAGATTTTATATGTAGAAATATAAAAACACATGACCACTGATGAATTATTACATTAATAATTCAAAACCTCTCAGGTAATTTTTTCAGACTGACACTTTAGTAGCAAAAATCTTACTGTGTTCTTGTGACATTTTCATGAAGATAACTATGCATGCACAGCTAGGGTTAGTTTCAAAAATCTCATATTTAAGTAACACTACTTTAGCCAGAATCATTCTGACAAATCATTATATTTCTTTTCAAATAATATTTTAAGCTAAAATGTAAATATGTACCAACTCTCTTAACCAGGCATTTTAAAAGTGACAACACTAAAAGT